AAGTACATTCCCCGATACCACATTCTGCGTCAGTTGGGCGAAGAAGAAATCAACTCTGCGCGCACAGACTCGCAGTCGGACTCACCTAGGCAGGTGTTAGTGGGAACCTACATCATTCCAGGCACTGAATTCTATGCAGTCACAAGCTACAGGAACCGGGATGTAGTAGAGACGAAAATCAGGCAAAACAAGTATGCCAAGGGCTTTCGGGATCGTAGAACCAGAGGGCGATCTCCCTGAATCAGATTTTGCCTTCACATGCGCTTCCGGCGTTGGTCCGCATGGCATTATTTGGAGCAGGATATACGGCGGACTGGTCCTTAGAGTTGATGCAACAGCCGGGTGTTGGAATGTGGCAGGACGCGATTGAAGATATTGATAGAGTGCAGCACATTCCTTGGCTATCAAACATGCCGAATTAATCCATGAGAAGTAGTTCTTGATGTGTGCAAATTGTGTTTCCTGGAGTTGTAAGTGCAAGGTGAGAAGGATTGTTTAAGATTATAGAATTGATAAAGGCCTGACGTAGTGGGTTCAGGGCGTTCACGTGAAGCACAAAGGGAATTTGGCTCGATATCTGCTCTGCTGACGGATTCCGGCTGCTGCGGTGCCATTGGTGAGTAAGTTGCGCATGGACTGCTTGACGTTGTCCCTGCGGAGGACGCTGTTGGCCTATCAGCTACAGTGTCCCTAGCGGTACTCGTAGTTTCGCCTTCCTTTGAATAGTCTTTAGAGCTCTTGTGATGCGAATGTGCTGACTCCCAAACAGTGTCCATCAACTTAGCAATCATAGGACGCAAATTCCACATCTAGCGAGAACATATTTAGGTTTGCTGTTTCACTGCTGCTGCAAAGATGGTCGATGAGATTAAACTTGAACCGTATAATTTTGGCATCACAGGAGCTCTAGAGACGATTCAAAGGAAGGCGAAACTCCGAGTACCCCTAGGGACACTGTGGCTGATGAGCCAACAACGTCCGCCGCAGTGACAGCCAATGTCCAACAGCCAACCACGGCATCACCGATGCTTGGCAGGTCACTGTTCCCTCTGACTGAGACATCGCCTTCTGGTGGAACTCAACGAATACAATGCATTCCACAGGAGGCTCATGCGCAATTTGACCACCAATTGCACCAAAGCGGCCAGAATCCGCCAGCAGGGCAGATATCAAATCAAATTCACTTGCTGCTACACGAGAACTTCCTGAACCCACACAGTCAGGCCTTTTTCAATTCTATGAACTCAAACAATCCTTCTCAGCTGGCACACACAACTCTGCATACACAATCTGACCTCATCAAGGACTACTTTTCATCGATTAATTTGTCCTATGTGAAGGCCAAGTAATGTGCTGCATTCTATGAATACCTTCAAACGCACCCTAGCGCATACCAGCACGCGCCTGTTGCAGCACCTCTAACAACCAGCGCATGTGGACTCAAAATCTGATCCATATGGGTCTAAACCGGTTCCGAGGTACTCTCGAGAAGATCTAGAGCCCTCTCTTCCAGCAACTCCTCCCACATCGAGATATTTCACCCCCCTACGCATTTATAATAAGTAGCTTAAACAATCGAAACAATGCATTGGCATCATTGTTGGGCATTCTGACTGCAATTTTTTAAGTCGAAGTCCTACCGAGATCAAATCATGGCCAGGTGATAGACGCTTGTGCAGGCCTACTGCGGTTCGCATTGACGACCTCGAAATAACTGTGGTTAAGTGCACGAAGGTTTCGCACTCTCACAGGCCGGATCGGACCTAAATCTAAATTTCGCGCAATCATGTAAAATGTACACTTAAGGAGACATTAGTTCAATCAATGCAAATAACGCCTATCTACGTTGCCGCATTGAAAGCAAATGCATTGGCCTCAAATCGTGTTTTAAGGCGGGGTCCGGTCGTGTTAACCGAGCACCCGAAATTTCGTTAAGAGGGCACGCGTTGGTGTCAGCTGTCTCAGCTGCTGTGATCCGCCGTTACAGCCTGTTACGTGACTATCTGGCCTGGGATCCTCCAAATTCACACCCTCTGACCGTCTTCGCCCTGCCTTTATATTCCAGGGCGGTCCTCTCCCGGCTCATAAGCGACCCTTTCACGGGCCGCCTGAAAGTAAATAAGCAGGTCGGTGTGTTTCATCGTCGTGGAATTGTGTGAACCAAAATTTGACCATTAAACGGACTTGAAATAAACTGGCGTGACCTTTACTAAGCTCCTCTGACACAAGTTACTAAAAGGCCTAAAAATATTGAGGAAATCCTATTTTTCTACTAAAATCATACACACACAACAGAGGTCGCTAACCTCCTCTGGCTCCACGATCCCGAAAGCCCTTGGCATACTTGTTTTGCCTGATTTTCGTCTCTACTACATCCCGGTTCCTGTAGCTTGTGACTGCATAGAATTCAGTGCCTGGGATGATGTAGGATCCCACTAACACCTGCCTAGGTGGATCCGACTGCGAGTCTGTGCGCGCAGAGTTGATTTCTTCTTCGCCCAACTGACGCAGAATGTGGTATCGGGGAATGTACTTCCGCAAGCTGTACGCAAATATCTGGGCAAAAATACAAATAACTAAGAATATGCATGATGGGAAAAGAAGAAAGATTTCCTTTGTAGCATTGAACTCAGCTATGAAGGAAGTTGGCCTGGTGCCTTGTTAGACGTTAGAAGGAGGGTCAGGTTTGTGCAAGACTACTTTGCTTCAAACTCCAATGAAGCGGTCTGAATCCGTGCATGTTACGTGAAATGTCATCAACTCTTTTGGTGATGTGTTGGAATTAACTTAACGGTCATTAGAAATGAATCGTAACTTCCGAAGTACGAATACCACCAGGAAGGCTACCTCGTTGAAGTTAGCAGAAGTGGGAAAAATTTGAAGAGATTTGCATCGTCCATGGATGGTTATTAACGTGCGTGATGCCAGCACCGACGCTTTCTTGGGCTTAAGATCTTTGCTTACTGCTAATGGTTGTGACTACACGTTGCCGTGTCACCAACGCCAATTATGATTTGTGGTTGCTAACTTAGGTGCAGACTTTGTGGCACAGGCTTCCGATGCATTGCCTTAATCCGATCGACTTTGGCTCTGTCATTAATCAGTAACACGACATGGAATGACGTACCATATTTTGGTGCTGATCAGCGGCGCTATTGTGGGTTATTTTGCAGTCGAACAGTCAACCCCATTTGACATCCAGCATGCTCCAGGTTTTGGTGAATTGCCTTTAACGTAAAATATGGTACGTAAAAAGTGGCTCCACGCGATTACCTCACGCTAAGGTTTAGCCTAAATGCAACACGTCGTTGAGACTAGTAGTTAATTGCAAAAGCTTCGGGCAGTCTCGCAACCAGGTGGTGTAATGAGGCCAGCTTCAACATATTTGTAGCCAGGTTAAAATCGCCAGTGCTCATTTAAACGTCAAGTCACAAGCATGCTTAAACAGACCTAATCGTGGAATGAGCTGAAAGCACACGAGTATCTTCACAGTATTGCAGCAACAAAAATGCTGAACAACTCCCAAGCAAATTTCGGCCAACCGGGTTTTCTTTTTCATAACCAATAAGGTTAACCGCAGAGCAGTGGAATGTGACCCGAATTCACTATTCGAATTTCGGTGTAGACATTGTTAAAAGTAAGTCAGAATAAAAACGCATCAAGGTATGAGCCGTATGAAAGAAATTAAGTAAGTCCTAGAATTTACCTGGTGTGCTCGAAGATGCGACGCAGAGAGAATGGAAACTGCGCCTGGCCAATTCACCACCCTATATATATGCGTCGGGATACAGACGACCTCCAAATCTGATTGGGCCAAAATACAAGCCGCCGCCGCGTCGCTGGCCA